TCTTTGTATTACACCTTGAAATTTTTAGAGTTCTATAATCATAGGTTTAAGATAGTTTTTTTAAACTATGGAAGAAAAAATATTTTCAGTACTATCTCCAATTTGTCTTCATTAATCTTTCTTCTTATTTCCAACCTTCAAGTTGGTTGATGGATATATGTATATTTTATAGATGAGCTTAAAAGTCAATGTCTTGAGGATGTGTGTGAAGAGAAGATTGAATCTCATGTATTTGACTTTGTAATTCTACAAGCTATCTTAACTTTAGAGACACTTGTTTCTTATAAAAGAACTTATAAAAACATATAATGTTTTTCATGGAGTAGAAATAAGATCTTTTTTTAATTATAACAAACCGAAATTTCATTAACTTGTTAAAAAATCCTAATATCATTTAGAAAAAAATAATTAATTAAATAATATATTTTTAGATTATTATATTTAAAACATGAATTCAATCGAAAGGTGATATGATAACGAATAGTCTCTTCTTCTATCATATTTTTGAATTTGAATATTGTAGAGAAAAAAGAAATTTAAGTAAAATTTATCTAACCTTTCTAAGATTAGTATTTCATCTTTTTTGTTGTTTCTTTAAATAATTTAATAAGTTTCCTTATTTGAAAGTATCTATAATAAATTATATAAAATAAAAATATAAAAATAAAAATAATTCAAAGAATTATCTTTGACTTTGGAAAATAGTCTATTACAAAAAAAATAATTTGTATCTTGCCTTCTTAACCATATTTCAGTTACTACCAAAGCTAAATAAAATATTAGAAGGATTTGATTAGGATATGATTAAGATTTATTTAGAATTTATTTAGAAATCTTATTTTTGATATCTTTTTAGGATTTTTATAAAATACTTTATGATTTCTTTAGAAGTTCTTTATAACTTTTGTATATTTCTTATATAAGATCTTTAATACTTCAATTAAATTTTATTTAGATTTAATTAGAATTATTAAGCTTTAATTAGAATTTATTTAAGACTTATTAGAGTATTAAGACCTTATTGTTGTAATTTCTATTTTATCTTCTACAACTAAGTATTTAATGTATTTTCAAGGAAAGCTTTACATAATACAACAATGCAATCCACTTATTGGCCAATTTTATAATCTACCAATTACCTAAAAATACTTGTAAAGTCAAATCTACATCTACAAAGCTTTTTAAAAGCTTTTCTATAAGATGTTATTGAATTTAATTACTTTTACTTCCATCTATCTCTTCTTATTTTGTTAGTACTAATACCAACATTGATATTTGTGACAATATTTCTACACCAAGTTTTAGCTTTCACAACCTAATAGAGTTCCAAATCAATTTTCTCATTAAATCACTAGCTACTACGAAAGATCTATGACTCCTATTATATTTTCATAGATTTTGTTTCTATGGCTACTATTTCAAAACATTGGGCAATCCAATTATTATTAGTTTTGTCTTAGAAATCAACAAACTATTATTTGATAATAATTTGGTTGACTTGATTTAAAAATCATGGTCATTAAATGATCTAAGAGAGTAGCATTGAAGATGAGTAGCAAATTAAATTTTTTATCACCTTAGAAGTTGATCTACAAAGCTTAAATCCATGCTTTGTAGAAATATAGGAGTGAGATAATTCTTTGGTAATTTCTACATTTAATTTTGTTATAAACACAATAGAAGACATCAATGTATGCTGATTTTGACTTAAATATAATAATATATTTTGTAATATCACATTGATATACAATTATATAGAATTGGCAAGAATAGCTTAAATAATAGATATTGCTTTAGTCCCGTATTGAATTATTTATCTTATTTACTTTCTCTGTTTTTGGTATAGAATGATAAAGTCTTCACCATACATTACTTTAGCAATAAAAACAATTATAGAACATGTTAAGGGACATACTTCATATGAGCCTTGCAATATCATGTTAAATGTTGATTGCCAAATTTTTAGATATAGACTCCGTTTGTCTAATAGATGAATTTGCTTATTATTGAAAGTTAATTTTAGATAATATAGAACATTTATAGATGTAGTGGTTAGTTTCTAAGAAAACTAACTACTACATCTATAAAATCTAAAAAAATCTAAAAAAATATTAAATTATGAGATTAAGATACTTAATGAAGATACTTTTATAATTGTTTGTTATTAGATTATAAACATGAATTTTAAGCTTTCTACCAGCAACCAAATCAAATTCAATATAAAATTAAGATTTTGGAGATGTAGCATTGACTTCATTGTGATCTAGTATCTTTATAAGTCTTGAAGCAATCTACAAGGTTGCTACCATGAATTCACCCAAAAGATCTTTAAAAACAATCCACATAGTTGTTTTGAAGAAACCAAAATAAGAAATCCCATTTTAGTTATAAACTGCTCTCAAGTTAAATATTGTATTTTAAGATTGGAAAGTGCAGAAGTTGATCTTTAATATATATATGGCAATAATATCAAAATCTTTTGAGTAAATTTTTTCTTTTCATACTTTCAAGTAAAGTTAACATATGTCAAATTTTCTTCCAAACACAGGATTTCTACCAATTTTTTTTTTTTAGATTTTTTTTCTATACTTTAAGATAAAAAAACATCCAATTTATTACTAACAAAACAAAACATGAATTTTTAGCAATTAAATGTATCAACTTTGTATCACACTTTGTTTGAATTAGTTTTAATTTTGTAACGATTACTTTTAATCTAAAGACGAAAATAGCTTCAAAGGAATCTTATTTGCAATGTATTACTTGAGATGTAACAAATAAGGTACATCCAACCATTTGCTTGAAGCTAGTCAAAGATACTAACAATAACTTTCCATTGTATAAGGTCTAGAGGAAGGTTGCATCAAGTATCTTTTGTGCACATCTTTTTGCTAATATTTATTAAACTTTTATTATCTATATTTCTCTAAATTGTCTTAGTATATGCAGCTATTTTTTTAATCATAATATTATCAACAATACTAAAAATAAATAAATATATAATTAAAATTTTCTCTTGTTCGTTACAAGAGCAACATTGTATTACTTGCTATTGTTAAATATGCCAAAGAGGATATTGGGAGGTGCAACTTAAGCTATTCTTACAACAAAACACATCAATATAATAATTTAAAATCTTAGCTTAGTTTTGTAATACATTTGTTCAAATATTATCCAAAATCCAACCAAAGGTGATTATTTCAAATAAATTCTATATATAAAGCTAAAAGATATATTTTTTATGAAAAAAGAATAAATTATATACAAAATTAGGTAATTAAAATAAGTAATACAAACTAAAATTAAAAACTAAAAAAAAAAAAAAAAAAAATACTCTAAAATATATTTAGATAAATTAATATAATTTTTATTATAAAATATTTCAAAATATTATATAAAATATTAAAATTACTAATAAAATAAAATTGTATTAAAAATATTATTAAAAAATTAGATAAGAAAAGGTTGATAATAAATTATATTATACAATGGTTGATAAATCTATAAGCTAAAAGTTTACATTATAATCTATTAATATATTTTTGATATTAAAATAAAACTATGACTATTATAAAAATATATAAAAAAGAAATAATATTATAAAGATTTATTAGAAAGTTTGATTTGGTACAAGATTAGATTATATTACTTTATAATATTTAAAATATCATATATTTTATAATCAATCATGTATAGAATTTTGGAATAAAATACATAGATAATAAAATATGGTTATATTTAGAATATTATTTTTGATAATAGAAACTACTTAGAAAAGATAGATACATAAGTAAATGCACTATTAATATATATATATATATATATATATATATATATAATCAATAATAGCTCCAAAGTTCAAGTTATGTTTAAACTTGTTGAAAGTAAAATGTACTTAATAAAAGAATATCTATTAACATGTACTATTAAATATACTAATGCCTATTTATATTAATTCATAAAAAATTAAAATCAAAGTAGATTTTGTTATTATACTTATAGCTTATATTTTTTGAATATAATATATACTAAGTATGATGGACTTACTAGCTATTAAAGATTATCTCTATGGAAGTTTTGAAACCAAGAGATATACATGGACACTACTTTTTTAGCCTTCTTTTGACAAGAAGAGTAGAAGCAATTTTCCAACAATATAATATATGCTTTGTTTGGTAGATATTTTAGAATATTCTTTAGACTCTCTTTAATAAGACTTTTAGCTATAATAATTAGTTTAATAGAACCACAATATTATATATATATATATATATATATATATATATATTTAAAAATCTCATTATAAGAAACTTTATTTTGTATTCATTTCTCTACGTATGTGTGGTTTGTGTTTGTTTTTCAATAAACATTTGAAAAATTAAATAGCATTGAAAGAAATTAGGTTTATAATCAAGCTCTATTTTAAGGCTATAGATAATTAATAAAGCTTATCGTCACCTTTAAATAAATAAAAAAATACAATACTATAAATGTTATTTCAATTTATAGGATTATACAAGAAATTCTTCTTATTGGAAAAAAAAAAAAAAAAAAAAAAAAAAAAAAAAATTATAAATATGTTTTATATTTAGTTAGTGCCAAAACATTGTTGCTACAACTATAGAAGATTTATCAACAAAGAAAATTTTCCATAATGCATTAGGTATTACCAAATATCCAAAAAAACTAATCATATTAAATCATAAAAATTAAATTTACTGGAAATTAAATTGACTTTACAATCATTTCAGATCCAACTAAGTTATATATAGTATGAAGCTATGTGAATCAAAATACATCATTTTATTTAATGACAGTAATTAAACTCATTAAAGTAATTTAATATTAACAAATATATTATGGACTAGTTATTATACCTCAAATAATTATGTATAAAAGAAAAACATATAGTGACTAAGAAATGTTCTTTTTTTGATTAATGCAAAACATGGCAATCCTGTCACACTTTAAGATGAAACATTACCAAATAGTCGATGAAGTAGAAAGAAAAAAGAAACACATGCAGCACACAAAGTAGAAGAATAGTAACACTAATGCCTGTTCTCTTCAACAAAATCGCTTGGATTGCTTCTAATTTATGGTTGGGGATAACTACCTAGAATCCATGAATTTAACCGATGCACTGTAACGGGGCTTTGCACACATTCTGCTTTGAATGATCTTTCTGATTCTGCCGAGAGGCAAAGAAAAGGTTGACCATGACTCACAAACTCACTGCAACTGATAACCTCGCACAACTGATCAAACCTGCTAACTCAGCGATAGAACCTACTAACCCTGACAAATCAAGCAAGTTTAGACACGACGATGACTCACTCCTTATGACGAAGAGTTGAGGGTGTTGTTCTAAAGCCACATATGATGCAAAAATCGAAAGATGATGTTGCACAATGCAACAGCCCTCGGCGGGGTATGAGCTACTGGATGTTGAGGATGAGGAGAATGAAACCTCAAGGAATGTAGAGTGGGCCGGCAGGAGCGCTGCGGCATCGGTTCAAGGGCTTGGAAGGGCGCCCATTGTCTTCAGATTTGCAGTAAGAATCTAATCGAACATTCGTTTTTCATGTTGCTGGATGGGTCGTCTGGCACAGTCACCGACAGCACAAGTTGTGTGCAGCGGTCCTACAGCCTCCCACTTGGTTCTAATCTGCTTTTGAAAATGGGATCCGTGCTTGCGATCAGTGTGATGCGAGGTAGCTCTCAACATGAGCCACTTTTCTTGTTGGGCTGCCAGAACCATAGATTCTTCCAAAATGGTTTCCTCATGTTTGGGCGTTCCGGTGCAGCGTGTATGTACCCATCGTCGTGTGGGAGAACGAACTCGACATGGTCAAGACTAGAAGCTCTCTCGCTAGGCTTGCGAGATTCGACGAGGGGTACATGCCCGTCGAGAGAGCTGCACGACGGGAACTTGGATTCTCTATATGCAAAGCAGCTCCGCTCATCTTGTTCGAGGAGCAGGGCTCCATCATTGACCTGTGGATGTGCACAACCGGCCCTTGTTGTTGTTAGAACTTGGAAATAACTTCAAAACCTGGCCCACAGATAGCGTTCCTATCTGTTAATAACACGTTCTTCGTCTAAAATCCCCTCAAATCCTTCACCATGGGGATCTGTTTCCCATCATCGAAAGTACCAACAAGCCAACTGTTGGAGCAATGTCAAGACGGCGGCCACCAAGAACACTACCTCTTCGTAGTTGGCGTAAGGAGTGAACATGCAGACGTTACGCTCTTGATTGATGCGGAGTGTCGTCTTTGCGTGAATTTCTAGAGATTGAGATCTCTTATTCGTGGGCTCATTGAAGGTAACGTTCTCACAGCCCATGTTCCACACTCAAGTTTCCGCATGAAACCTGCAAGAGAATGCGTAACGATTACAATTCCATTCTCTGAAGAAATGGAAAAAGCTGAAGCTGTACCATGTGCATATAGATTCTAAGACCTTCGCACTATCATCTAAAGCCTTTCAAAGACTTATAAATTGGTAAAAACGAAAATCACATCGTGCTAATGGTTTTGTTGCCCAGCCTCAGTAAAGCTTGATCCTTAACTTGGTGGACCCAAGTTCGACACTAAAATTGCAATTTTAAGTAATTGGCTCTGAGATTCATCCGATTATCGTAGAAAATTGAAGAACGGCAACAGCATCGTCTCCAACTGAAAATTTGCTGTCACCCCATTGCAACGAGCAACTCGATTCCAGAGTGAGAATGAAAATTCTTTTATTCATGTCGTGGACAGTAAGTGATGCTTGGAGAACAGTAACTACGGCCGCACAATACAATTCAGATCAAACGCTGGATCTCGAACAGTACTCTTGACCGTGAGCATTGCCCATCTCCATCCTCTGAAAGCGTACAAACGTGTGCATCAATTCTATGCGTTGAATTCGAATTCAGAGAACACTGACTTCATCAGCTGCGCACATTCCACAAGATCCCTTCGGTGCGATCAACAAATCTCTAATCAATAACTTTTTCTGCTTTGCCATTCCTTTCATTTGTCTTCCCTCTTCAGCGTTATAGGGGTAAGCATCACAGGAGCTACGTGGGTCCAATCTAATCAGAAGGCCTTGATTCCAGTTCATCAGCTCAAAGTAATGCAGTGACGTGGTGATCCGGAATCTCTAGCCCTCTCGCCCTTAAACTGATAAAAAGCATCTACGTAGATGTATATATCGCTTGCTACAATTGAATAAACTCATGATAGGATAGGAATCTGAGTGCAGGAATTTCAAACCGATGGCCAATAACGAGATTTAAATATAACTAACTTTAATGGTTTCGATGAAGGATTTGAGCGGCTCTAAAAATAAAATAAAAATAAGGATCTCGCAGAGAATACAACATTACCGCCGATCACCGACTACCCATTGCGAAGCCAATATAGTGAGTCTGGTGAGCATGCCGGACGACGAAGCACCTCATCAACAACCGTCACTGATCGACGATGCGTACAAGAGAGAGAAAACTGACCGCTACTGAGACTGATGGGCCACCCTGAGAATACACCTGGTGTGGTCGTTGCGTCACAGCATTCGGCATCCAATTCTTGTTTTCCCCGAAGACCGGCTACTGGTAGATGCAATGGACAGATCCAGCTCCCTCCCACGCACCCAACGCCGCAAAAACCCACCGAGCAGAAATACACATCTCCACTTTACGCACAAACCACAAAACATGAGCACTGAAGGGCAAACGAAGTTCAATTCCACGCAACAAGCGCTGCAACGACCATACCGTCAAGTAAAATGCTAAGCCCGGCTTCGGCAGAGCGACACACAGTGACCGAATTCTCACTAGCAAACGAAATCTAGCCATCAAGCGAGCACCCGCAGTGACCAGCACGCATGGTGCCGCTAAGAGTGCGAGGCATCAGAAGCGTGCAAAAAGCAACATTGGAGCTCATGGTGCTCAGGTTTGTAGCTTTGCTGCTTGTGCATGATTAGCATCGGATTGCAGTTTTCATGCATAGCTATGTCGGAGGGACCACAAACCAGCCACAAATGTAACAACAACTGCAACAACCAAACAGAATGCCACGCTGTCTTTGCCCATGGAAACTACAGTTGTGCAAGGTCTTAGTGCGTAAACTCTACGCCCATGAAAACTCTATAGTTGTGCAAGGTCTCTGCCTGGTAGCTCACATGCCACAAGCTTCTTCTGCAGCTTTTGTTCATTTGTATCATTCTGTGTACAAAATGTGATTCCCAGGCTGGAAAATATCATGCTCCTTTGGCTTTATCTTGCTGCCTCTCTCTCTCTCATGGAGTTGCTCCGTTTTGTTGGTTTTTTGTCACGTTTTTGGTGTGCTTGCTGATCAATGCTTTTTTTTAGGGCATTGATTGGGTATAAGATTGTTAGGCAATGATCTGTTGTATTACGATCATGGTGATTTCTGCAATAAAATTGATTTTATGAGCCAAGTACCAGTTGTCAGAGAGGGCTTTTTTGAATGAATCGGATATCAGATGTAACAGTGGGAGAAGAACTAAATGAACTTTTCACTTTCGGATTTGCAACGACTTGTAACTTTTATTACACTAGTCTTTTCTTTCTTTTTTGGGAAAAGGATTGAGTGTTTTGTGGTGGAAGGAAAAAAATTCAATAAATTTTTTGAATGTTTGTTGTTTCTTACTTTTTAAATATATTGATTCGATAGTGTCCAATTCATTTCTAAAATATTCTATGTTTTGTTAGTTATGGTTTTTTTAGTATTATTACATGGTCAATCTATTTTGGTATAATGTTTAAAAACACTAAAAGTACTTAACTAAAAACTTCCACTAAATTGGTGCTGGGGTATTGCATTATACGAGAGTATTGCATAAAATAAGTGAAGTTGCTTCTAAAATTATTGCACTGGCATGTATCATCATGCACCATTTTGTGATTATATTTTAAAGTTCTATTTAATTACCTTTTGTTTTCTAGAACCTAACATATCTTTAGCCATCTAAGATTTATCCCATCTCTTGAGAAAAAGGGCTTTGTATTCTATATATTTATCTACTTTCTTCTTTAGAAATTTAAAGGTAGGTTGTTCATATTCAAAAAGACCTTGCCAAAGTAGAGTTCTAGTATGGAGATCACTCTATACTTTGAATTCGAATATAAGTTTATTCTTTCAAATCCAATAGACCACAATCAAAGACTTCTTTGTAAAGACAAAAAAATTACAAAAATTTCTAAACCAAGAAAAAACAGTCTCTACAAAAATAGTTTGTTTCCACAAAAAACAATCCAAGATCTCTATTTCTAATGACTCACAATTAATTTGTATAAAAGAGAAACAGACTAATTTTAACTAAATCAAATCTATAATCTAATATAATTCTCACACAACAATTATTATAGTTGAAATAGTTAACAACAAAGAGTTCTTATACAATAGTTTTTAATTTATAAATTCTTCTAATCATTTTTTTAGTTCTTCTAAGAATTATAGATTGTTGTTGAAAGAAATAATTTAAACCTATTTAGTATTTAATATTTTATTTGAAATAATATTAATATAATTTTTTTCTAATTATTTATTTTTGATATGTTATATAATAAGAAGGATTAAGTTTTAATGTACTAAAAAGTGGTTAAATTTGTGATTACAGTTTTTTTTTTTTCTTTTTTTATTAAAATTTGATAAAATATTATCAATAAGTCAAACTATAAAAATGTTAAAATTTATTTTTTAATTTTATACTAAATTAGACATGGAATTTGTACAACATTGATAATGATGTGTATGTTTTAATTTTAAATGGTACTGTTGGAATATTTATTAATAAGGATAAAATTTAATCTTATATAATTTATTAGATATTATGTATTGCATAATGTATTTGTAAAAAAATAAAAATAAAAATATTTTTAGAATTCTTCAAAAAATTAAATAAATATTAATATTGTTCAATAATAAACATATTAAGAAGTTATTGTGAACCAATAATATAAACACAATTTTATTATATATATATATATATATATATATATATATATACATATTCTATAGGCACAAAAAAACTTTGATAAGTATTAAAAAATTGTTAGAAAGAATTTTTGAACTAAAATCATTAAACTACGTAGCTAATACTTAAATGATAATAAATAAATAAAACATATATGTACATGTATATAGGATGTTCCTAATGACTCTATAGTTTTTGCAACTACGACCACAACTTATTCTTATTAACTTTTGAATTATGTTTTAATAGAATTCATTTACTTTCTAAATAATTTAAAATATTTATGAATATATATATATATATATATATATATATATATATGTTAGAAATATTTTTAAAAATGATTAAAACAAAACAAAACAAAATTTTTGCTAAGTGGATGGTAGATTGTGGTGGTAGTAGCCAAAAAAATATGAGATGTGGTGGAAAAAAAATTGTGATGGCATTAACAATACCATGTATACATAAGGTATAGTTTTATAAAAATTCATGTCCTCTACATATTATATATGATACTATTTATAGTAAGAAAACTATATCAAATATTAAAATTAACTTTCTCTCACTTGTTCATGGAAAATATGTTAATGCCATGTAAAATTCACCATAAAGCATTTATAGTTGATGCTTAAGAGAAATGAATAAGTAATGGAAAAGGTGCATTTTGTATGGTATAATAACAAAATTCATTGTATTCTTTTAAAATTTGTGTTAAAGTTCAAAATTAATATATATTAAACTTCCTTCTAAATTATTTTACTTATAGATCATTCTTTGATATGTATACATTTATGTATGTGTGTATGTATGTATGTATAAATATTTATAAAGCACACAAGACTGACAAACAGGATAATTCATATTCTACTTGCAATAGAAAATAATATATCAAAAGAATACTTTACAGATTACCAATGATAGAATATTGGTAGGGTGAAGTAAAAGTGCTGCTTCTAGACAAATTGTTAAGTAAAATATAAAAAAATAACTATAATATGTTTAAGCTGCATGTTGCAAGTCCAAGCTTTCTGAAGTCTACAGTGGCCATATGGCATATCATGAAAATATTCACAAGTAGTTTTTTTAAAAAATCAAGTAAAAATAAAATCACATTGTTTGAGAATAATGTAACAATTATGGAATGCATTTTTTAAAATTCTCAACAAATAATTTATCATATTTTTAATTTTTAGCCTTTTACATCTAGTAATGTGGAGTTTTTAATTTTACAACGCCAATATATATATATATATATATATATATATACACACACACAATACCTTGGATCTTAATACATTTCAGAAACAATTGAATATTGTAATTTGAACATCACAAGGTTTTTATTAATTCTTGAATTGCCCATTTTTTCTTTTGTCAAGTTTTAATTGATGCAAATATTTCAAACCACATATTAATCACAAATTTGTGAATAATTTTCTGTTTGGAATCGTAACTTTGGACTGCCAGTGATCATGATGCCAATCGCAAGAAATAGTAAGAAAATTTTGCACACAATTGTGGCCGTTTTCTGAACGTTTAGAAACAGGTTTGGATGAATCGAAGCTGATTCAGCGGGGGACGGAGCATGTTCTAGACGATTCTAGGATCCCACCCGTGGCGTGTTCTAGACGCTCCCTGGGGTTTAGCGGGAATTCTGAACCATCCAGCGTCGGGGGAACTCCGGGATCTCTTCATCCCAAACAGAGATGAACTTTTCTTTCTGAAATTCAATCACGATCCAGAACATTCCAGACCACCGACGGCGGCAGTCTCTCCATGCATCTGCTCTGGAGTATAAGCACGACCCACTCGCTGCAACAGAACATTGAAATTTTGGCGATCATCGTCGACTACTGACGTAAGTGCACTCGTGCTTGTAGTATAAATCAGGACCTTGTTCGCTGTTAAACACTGTAGTCATTACGATTGTGCAACCGAGGGTGTAGGTGAGTCTAGGGGAAACGAATTAGTTCGGTGATCGAACCTGTGAACTGTGAGATAGGGGGGAGAGAAAGAGAGAGCTCAAGACATGGCGTTGACACCATTCTGGGGCCGTGAGCGCGGCGTGGGGTCGTGGGACAGCAACCCATGGGATCCGTTCGAGACCACGGACGCATTGATAGACAGCATCTACAACCATCCAGGGCTGTCACTAGCGCGCAGCTTACAAGGAGTGACGAGCACCAGCGTGGATTGGAAAGAAACGGCGACAGAGCATGTAATCAAGGCAGACGTGCCAGGCCTAAGCAAGAACGAGATCAAGGTGGAGGTAGACGACACCCAGCGTGTGCTGCGCATCAACGGGGAGCGGCGCAAGGAGGAGGAGCGGCAGACGGATGAGTGGCACGTCCTGGAGCGCGGCGACGCGCGTTACTTGCGCCAGCTCGCGCTTCCCGAGAATGCAAATCTCGACCAAATCACTGCCTCGGTGGACAATGGCGTGCTGACAGTCACCATGCCCAAGCTCCAGGCGCAGCAATCCAAGTCTCGGGTGCGCCAAATCCAGGTCGGGGATGCGGGCGAGGAGGGGCCGAAGCAGCACCGCGAGCTGATTCCCGTGTCGGCGCTAAAGAAATTCTTCCCCTTTGGACACCGCAAGTGACGACTCGCGGCTGCGGCTCTAGCGCCACCTCTGACGCTAACGCACATCCAACGCTGAGGACGCCAACGCGCGTCTAACTACATGGTTCCGTTGCAGTTGTAATATTTTGCACTGTATTGTACAGAGTTAAACTTCACGGAGTATAAAGTTTTGAGCTTTTTAGTTGAAGGATTCCGTGCCTCTTGTACTAGTTGTTGTTCATAGCCAAATTGATTTATTTTCTTTTTTCTTGTCTTTTTATTTTTTAATTTTTTTGTATATAGATTCCGCTGTTGTTTTGTTTGTACATGTTTCTAGTTTTTTGTAACGAAATTGAAAAATTACATACTTTTGAGTATGAATTGAAATACTAGCAATTCATGAATGAATCGTGTGTATAACAAGCACCACTTTTTTGTTTTTTTTTTTATTACTATCTTTATTCTTACTATAAATTACAAATTTTGTAGCTATTGTTATTATTATTGTTGTTGTTGTTTTTGTTGTCATTATATATATACAACTATCACAATACTTTATCTCTATAAGAAATGAATGATAAACATTAAAAAAAAAAATGTGTAGAAACAACGAAAAAGACTGGTAACTCAACTATAATTCATTCAGCTTAATTTTAACAATATTTAGAATCTAGGGTACTCTTTAATACCTTGTCCGATCATTTCCAGTATGTTTCGGGAGTTCTCCAGAATACCGTTTTTTAGACACTTCTTTAAAAATATTTGAATATTTTTTTGTACATAGGTTTTATAAGAAAATTATACCGGGAATTCTGAAATAACTTTTTTGATTCTCTGAATGGTACAAAATAAACAAAAATCAGTAACAAAAAATAAGGTTCTTTGTAAAAAAATATTACAAGATGACTGAGTAAATATTCTAAGTTATCAAAAAGTCTTACTAGCTGTAAAATATAAGAAATACACTTTTTTTGGCTATTAAACTTTTTCGTTTACTGATATATTTTAAATAAAAAATTGTCTTTTGATCTCATATGTTACATTCATATATTTCTAAATACTATTGCATTTTATGAAATTCTACCTTATATATATATATATATATATGAATAAATAATAAATAATATAAATTCTGGTGAATCATATCTGAATAACTAAATAATATCGTAGTTACTACACAGATTCTCAGAAAAAAATTTAAAAACTATCAGTAAAAATGTTATCTATGTATGAACTAATTCCAATTGGTAAACAGAAAATACATATTTATCCAGTAAATTGTTCTACTAATCGTGTCAGTATCTACAAATTTGAAATTACCACATATAGAATTTAAGCATTATATATATATTTTTTATAGAATGATTTCAATAAAAACTTTCTCCATTTACTACCACTCATATAAGGTAACTATTTCTTCTTGGTAAAAAAATATTACCCATAATATATATCTAATGTAGTGCATTTTTTTTCTATAAAGATTAATTTTATAATATAAATAATCACACAAGTATAATACATTAAATTTATCAATTAAGATTATCAATTTGGTTTTAGGTTACTAATTTATATAGCAAAATAAAACCATACATTTAATGCTCTAAGGATATTGAAAAAATATTATAAAAAATTTAAATCATTAGCCTCATATTCATATTTAAAGATGTAATTATTATTATTATTATTATTATTTATTATTATTATCTTAATAAAATAAAATAATTTTATCAAATATATTTTTATTTTAAATCATTTGAAAGAATATTCATTTGATTTTAGAATTTATTATGTATATATATATTTTTATGTATTATCATAGATATTGTATAATATAAAGCAATAATTTTATTTTTTTATTTTATTTTATTTTTTATTTTGGATACAAAGAAGATATGTACAATGCTTGGCTTATTAAAAAGATTAAACAACAGAATGAATTATATGTATTTCATAGATATTGTATAATATAAATCTTTTCTATCTCATTTATTTTTTTGAAAGAAAAAACAAGTTTTTTAAAAATTATTTTTTGGATCTCTAGTGTCTTCACCTTGTGGCTAATTTATATACAATTGATGTTGCTTATCTTAGATATATAGTTATGATATATTATAATTTTTTAGTAAAGAGATAAATAATAGTAAATCCAAGCTATTATTATGTTATCAATTTGATGAAGATCCACAATATGTAAATATTACATATTCAAGTTATTTGAGTTTTCTCTATATCTTATAATTTAATAGATTAAGCAAGCAAATGTTCTTGGATATGTTTTATAATAGAAAAACTCCCATCATCTTAATAGTGCCATAATTTGGTCAAGATAAGTTAAATAGTTAAATAGATAGTACACTTAACTTTGAGGAAAAATTCAAATTAGGATTGTACAAAATGAACCAAAAAACTAGTTAGATTGATACTTAAGATGAATACTTGTGAGATTTTGAAAACAATTTAAATATTTGTAAGATGAAATATTTCATATAATCTCTACAAATAAACTAATTAAATCAAGATAAAATATAAGTGATGTTAGAAGATGTTAAGATTAATCAGTTAATAAGTTTTAGTAAAAATTGACAATTAGACAAAGACAACTAATTGTTCAAATATTTTTATTAGACTTGGAATATAAGACTAAACAACATCAATAAATATTTTTGTAAGAATTTTAATTTTATAAGTTAGTTTTGTTTTGAAATGTATGAGCACACAACAACAACAACAACAAAATAAAAAAAATAAAAAAAATCTATTTAAAAATCAAACAAACAAACAAAATATTACTTAAAGAGCTACAAAAATTATAGAAAAACTAGTGAGAATTCATTAATTTTAAGAATTGGTTGATATCTTAATACAATAACAACATAGAGGGAGGTCTTGAGCCATATGCTAGGCTCTCCTTCATAAACTTAAATGCACAATTCAAACTTAATTCTTCCTCAATCGTAAAAGAATTTTTAATTTAAAAAACTTGCAAAAATGCCTTTTTTCTATATTTTTATTTTTTCTAAAAAATTACTATAAACCTACAAACAACCTATGCCACTCATATACAAATAATCAAAACAACTTGGGAAAAAATTCCAATAAAATATTATTAGTGTCCTACAAAGTTTTGTTCTACAAAATAGAATAAATATTTTAATGTACAATATTAAAAAATCAAATCTCAATGAACTATTATTCACAAAAAAAAAAAAAAAAAAAAAAAAAATGCTTAACTAAGTTGAACCTAATCATAATGAGCAAAACCATATAAATCTTCACAGTCATCTCTGAGGATGTTAAAGAGCAAGAAAATCCTAAATTAGTGAACGTCAGATTCCTACAGCAACGTTTCAGGAAAAACCTCTTCGGGTCCATAACTAGCGAACACCGAAAGTGGCTACAAGCCGAGCTCGGAAAATTAGGGCTTCATTTCACGGCGTTGAGGCTCTGAAAAATTGCAGCTTGTAATTTCATTTGCAATTGTGTAATCTTGGTTATCGTTGGTAGGTTCTTGGAGTAGGATTTCTATTTTTATGTGGGTTGTTATGTTTTGTTTTGTTTTTATGTTGTTTTGTCTCTTGAAGGGTGATAACAGTTGGAACTGGCAGCGGTTTCAAACACTGCTACTAGTTGAGGGATATTATTTTACAGCTTCCGACGTAACACTATTTTCCAGCAACTTGTTCCAATCCTGCTTAATTTAGTTTTTTTCGAACCTGTGCACAATTTATTGGTGAGTAGAGTTGCAATCTAAAACCCGTTTACAGCTTTGTGATGCGCGTAGCCTTTGTGTTGATGATCTCGGAATGCTTGCTTCTCATGTCGCTGTACAAAACAGATCTACACTTCAATGGGTAATTTTGTCGAAAATAGAGTTTCCTTGGCATGGTTTTTGTCCTTTCACATCGTTGGAGTATGTCGTTAAGTGCTTCGACTGATTGAAGCACCTCGTCTTGGAATCTCCGGCACCTTCTGAATCTCCCACTTCTTAACTGAAACGCTTTTTTGGTCAGTGTTTTTGTGTGTATGTGTGTGTGATGGCCATGAAAAAACAATTACTGCTGCATGTGCTTGCCAAAGCTGAAGCAACAACTCAGCCAAGGGAAGAGTCTTCTCGCTTGTCTGGGTTGTTGATCCAGTTTGAAGGCCGGAAAGCAGAGTGCGAAGTATTCTTCCCCATCTTGCAATTTCCCCAGCTGCCAGTTTTCAGGGAATGTAGCAATCTCAGCGCGGTCCACGAAGAAACTACTTTGTAACACAGAGGTGCTTTTGTTCACAACCAGGCGAGACTTGGTGACTAAGTCAATCCCAGAAGCCGTGGCGATGGCGAGGCCATGAATTTTAGTCATGGCAAGGTCGCATGGCACTCCAGCCATGCGTTCTAAGCAACGAACAGCGAATGGGTGCGGACTCACAATGCCGCAAGCAAATGTGTTCTCACCATCCCATGCCAATCGACATAGCCGCCGTCCAACTCCGATGCCTCGCCAGTCCTTATGTACAACAAGTTGTGTGATCCACATCACATCCCCTACACTTGCCGCAACAAGATTCAGAATGATTCACCCCCGGGAGCAGGAGAAGGAAGGCGCATTTATGAAGTAAGCGCACGAGAGCTCGTGAGAGATGATCGTCACCTTTGCCAGGGGCGAAGTAGAACCTCGTGCAGAAGGCATTCCCAATCACTTGGTTTGTGGCAGGATGGATCGCTGCCACAACAAAGCACCGCTTCACGTCGTAGAGGCCCTGGCTCCTCAGCTTCTCCGCTGAGATCTTCACTCGACTGCCTGGCTTGGCCTCATCACCTGCAATCATCACATTCTTCGAGAAATTCACCGCAGTGACGATTAAACAATGGTCGTGTAAACACGTGAGTCCTTGGTAAATTCTTCTACTTCACCACTGGGAATCCTATTGGCGAGAAAGAACCGAAGTCGGAAATTGAGCATGATGATGCACCTGCATTGGGGCCCCAGATGCCGTAGTGGTTGCTGTACAGATTAGCACACTGCTGCAGCAGATCGTTGTCCACTTTGGGAGCTGGAAGCAACAGAAATGCTAACTCCTCAATTGGTCTCGCACCGCTCTCACAAGGCTCCATCATCTTCAGCCGCATTCACAAATCTCACGAGTTCGCAAGGGAAGTGGTTTTACATCAGTTAATTCCCACTTCCTCCAACCTAAATTACATCGACTATCTCAAAACATTGCATACCAGCACATTGTCATGATCACCATTCAACACAATTCAACAGAACCGGCAATTGTGATCCGGATGCCAAGTACTGAAGCTACACAACAATTACTATGTTCTGAAAGAAACCAGAACGCTTAAAAGGTAGAAGGTGGGCAATGACGTAGACTAGAGAAGATACCCCAAATGCTGCACAAATCAAACACTCAATCGATCCCTAGTTTGTGACGGCTGGTGGCTGTGGCGATTGGACTATGTAGACGGCGGTGTTCTGTTGGTCCTTGGCACGGTTAAATGCCTCAAGTACTCACAGGCATTGATGAATTGTGCGATGGCAACGTGTTACCTGCCGGAAACATCACCCCAAGCCAATGTTTGAATCGCGTTTGAAGGAGAAAGCCCGCTACATGTGTGACACAGGCAGTGCTATGAATGGTTGCCCCTCACAAGGACACATTCGACTTTAAGATGTGTTCGCACAAGGCAGCTTGACAGTGTCACGAGGTACTAAGCTCACTTCCCTCGTCAAATCTTCCCACCTCCTCACGCAGCTCATGCCTACTTCTTCGTCCGCACATCGATAATCAAGGTACTGCACCCCAATTTAAACTTCGATGATGGCAAGAGGCAGTAAATAAATGCCATCATGTGACGACTTAGTTCATATGTGTGCTCGTGACTTTGGATAATCAGTAGTTACTCTGTGAGTGAGTCAGCTGTGAGTGGGGATGTTAAGACACTCAGGGAAGAAGAACGCCGAAAACCGAAAGAACGAGCGATAAAAGAGTACTGGTGGGAGTACCAGAGCTGAGGTGCTGATGCAGGAGTGACGTCTTGGGTGATTCAGCTTTGTTACGGAGTGAAATCGATTGTTAATCTAATTACCCAGTTAATATCATCGAATGTGCATGATTTCCGGTTCATAAGGCAGAGGTTGCCCATTCCACACCGGAGAAAGAATCCTTGCAAAATTTGACTTTGAATCCCATGAATAGCCCTTCCTGTCAGCAAACGTGGACCCAATCTACATAAAGAGTTCGATATTCGGCGCAAGAGGACAAACCTCCGAGCCCGAAAGGATCGCGCCCTAACGAGGCCAAGCTACTTTACAGAGCATTTTCGCTATTTTTTCCCTCATCAAAGGACTTCCCGAAGGTGTGTGGCACTATGTCTTTCCCTCGTGCATGCGAATACCAGGATGGGGAAGTGTTGGAAATGAGGGACCGGTGGAATTGGTCAGCTTGATCTGCCAACGATATGACGCTGAAGCCTCGTATACTCGTGATATCGAACATTTGTTCACCGACCCGGCTGTTCTTTTGTGGAAATTGGCAGAGCGAGAGAGGAACAGGGGGTGACGCGGGTGCCGCTTTTTGCTGAGTGCGAGGTCTTTCGCAGGGCAAAAGTGAAAGGCAAAAGCGCGGGCAGGACACTGAGGGGATGCGAGACCGTACTGGAGGATTCAATCTCAGACGCTCCCTTCGTGAAAAGGCAGGGTTGGGTGAGATGACGAGGTGATCTTTCTGCCGCTTTTCACGAACCTCATGATTTTGTACTATCGCCAAGTGCTACTTTCCTCTGGCTGAACGAATTTGTTTTCGTACACGCTCTCATTCCTCGCAAGCCAGCGAGAGTGCTGACGAGATTCGTGAAGCGTCATCACCGTCACACATCGCTTGCAGGCGACCGAACACTTGCTTACTGGGGAGGGGAAGAGGTAGACACGGAGCGAGCGAGAAAGACGACGAGTCGGACAGATTCCTTTCACGATAGTGTTTAGTGCGGAGGTGGAAGCTTGGGGATGCAGAAGAAGCAGCGGAGGATGATCGGAGGGGCGTCCAAGATGGAGAGGCAGCAGTTGGGTGGAGGATTAGGTGGAGGATTGGGGTGGAACAAAGTGGTGCCCAATGCGTCGGAGGGCGTTGTGGCGGTGGTGGGCGTAGGGCCTGGCCTCGGGGCCGCCATTGCCAGGCGGTTTGCTCGCGAACGCTACATCGTTGCTATCCTTGCCCGGGATTTAGGTTCGAATTCTTGCAAACAATCTAGGAAAGTTGGGCATTGCTTCCATTCTGCAAAATCGTGTTTCGGAATTTCGCTTTATTGTTCGATGCTCGGTGTCTATGATTTTTTCTTGTCGATCTCTTTCTCCATCGTCGCGATTCTGCGTACAGGGTTTGAGTTGTAATGGGAATTAGATTCGACTCTCCTGAGCAGAAATCCCAACTTGAGAACTAGGGAAACTGTGGAGTTGTTTGTGAAGAGAATTGCGTCACACCGAATCTCATAAGTTACGTCGGAACCTAGAAGTCATTAACAATGAGTCAGCGATATGGTTTGGCTTCTCGACTCTTGCAATTTTTTAAGGGCGTTTTCGTTTTGGGATTAGGAGAACGGCGTCACATTCTGGGCTCTGCAATAAAATTTAAAAAAAAAAAAAAAAAAAAAAAAACAGGATTTTTCGAATGTGACTTGGTTAAGCCATTCTGATTCTTCTCGAATTAGCATTTGGAACGCTTCAAGTTTCAGCCCAAGAAGCCGTGGCCAGCTTCTACGATTGTGTCGTGGTTTTGAGAAAGAAAACATACGCGTTTTTCAACCATTCACCATTCCGTAGGGACAAGTCGAAATTGCAGACGTAACTTTTATTACACCGGATCTCGGAAATGGGATATCCTGAGTCAAGCCTTTGATGGAGGCCATGAACTGTCTTTAGTAGCAAACCGTAGCATTGGAAATCATCATTTATTTTAGGTTAGCTTCGTGAGATTTAACTCTAATCACATCATATAAGTGCATCGTGTACGACGGGAGCAAATTCGAGCACTCGTTCCATTTCTGCCACTTTTGTACCTGGTGTGCTGATGGTACACGAAGTGCTTTTTGGTATTGAAAACCTATAATCTACTCTGGTATTCGAGGTGATTTACCCTTCCCGAAGAGATCGACAGCTTGAGAATTGTGTCTTATGTTCTGTTCTTTGTCCTTGCCCTTAATTCTCTTGCCCTTTGTCTATAGCTGTTCACAGTGATTCACTAACTAACGTTCAAAAAGATTCTCCATTATCATGTCCTTTGCATCGTCTATGTGTGGCAAGTCAATCCTGGCAATGATTCTTTTTGTAGTGTGGCATCATATGGTAATGCAATCCAGATTTGGAAATTGGTTTTTGCTGATCGAGGACTGTTTGCAGACAAGTTGATGAAGTTGGCAGAAGAAATTGTGGAGAAGGAGAACGAGGCTCAGGTTTGCGCGATTCGTATTGACTGCTCAGATCCTAAGTCAGTTAAGGAAGCTTTCGAAGCAGTCAACTCATTGGGCTCTGTGGAGGTCTTGGTACGCTTCATACAATTTTCCCTACAGTTGGTTTTATGCCATTTAGCAAGCACTTCCTTCTCCCCCTTTTTTTTTTTTTTTTTTTCTTTTTTTGCCGATGTGTTTTTTCCCAATGGAATATCTCACATGCATTGTGTGTTCCACAAATACCAGTTGAATGCATATGCAACTTACCAACTCCTTGACTAGATCATAATTTAATCATTTTTCTCTTGGCTTTTATGAAGACCAGTTTTCTAATGTGTCTTCGTGTTGTGTGCAGGTTTACAATCCAAACACCCCTTTCCCATGGCCACCTCCCAAATTTACTGACATCACTGCAGAGTCTTTCGAAAGATCAGTAATGGTTCCTTGTCTTGGAGCATTTCATTGTGTGCAGCAGGTGAACACTATTCACTTGTGTTTTTCTTTATTTCGTCAATCAGCATGGTGTGTCTCTTCTGTATGCAGCAATTTCTACTGTCATTCATATGTGTGCGATGGAGTGGCCAGGTAATTAAAGGAATGGTGGAGAGGGAGAAAGGCACTCTTTTGTTTACAGGGGCAACGGCTTCTATCCGAGGAGGTGCAGGCTTCTCTGAAATAGGTGAGTTGGGGACTTCCTTCAATTCCTTTGGAGGTATTCGTGGAGGTGGGATGTAGACAATGTATTTTATGACTACAGTAGTCGATTTTTTTTTCCTGTTACTGAAAACGTACTCTTTCTTTCCTTTAAACGTTCACATCGTAGCAAAATATATCAGCCTCGCACACTGGTATGTCTACATAGATATCCTTAACAACCTCGCATATCTGTTAGCGCATTCTGTTGATAACTTATATTCATCTGTCGGAGATGGGCATACTGATTTCATTGCGGCTGCATGCGCAGCTTGTGGAAAATTTGCACTACGAGCACTAGCACAGTCTTTGGCCAGAGAATATCAACCTCAAGGTATTCATGCTGCACATATAATTGTCGACGGTAAAATCAGCAGTCCAAGGTACGTAATCGAGTGCTTTACCCTTCGAGATGGAGAATTTGAGATTGTGAGTGTGAAACTACCACCTCGTGTGACCTAGCAAGAAGGGATTTCAAGGCAACTGGATGCAAGCCATGAGCATGTTACATATGAGTACACATTTGGCGGCAAATCGAGTTTTTATTAAATCTGCTGTACAAACATATTTTTCGTCTGTATATTTTCAGTGTATGTATTGACAAATAGTGTTGATTTATTATTTGAAAGTTAAGTTGGAGGTTTAGTAGCTGAGTTAAGGACTTTGTCGATGAACGACAGGAACCAAGACATGCCGGACGCGACTATGAACCCAGATGCCATAGCTGAGGTCTACTGGCAGGTTCATAAGCAGCACAAAAGTGCCTGGACACAGGAGCTTGACCTACGTCCATTTTCTGAAAAGTTTTAGTTCCTGAAATATAGGATGTAGAAGTCCTGCAATCGTTGAATCAGGAGGTGTCTAATACTGTCCGGTTCCGGTGTTAGATCAGGTGCAAATGGTGCTGTTAATTTGATACACTAGGTAGACATCAGCTTCAATTAGACTACTCACTGTTAAGGGAGCTTCCTTGGTATCGCCTTTGTGCAGCTTGTAATGTACAGTGTTCAACTTTCAAAATTTATGGCTGTGTTCTTTTGCACCAATTTGTCGTGCTCATCAGCTTTTCGTCACAGTATGTTATCTAGACGCTTGATGCAACAATTTCCATCTTACATGTGATCATTGTGAGTATTGTTTTGCTACAAGAGTTTAAACAAGTCATCCACTTTATACAATTTCTAGTTTCCCAGCAGAAAGCCTTCTCTCCTGTTGTCATGCAGGGCCTTCACTGCGGTATACTGTTGTCATCCAATACCAAGGTAAGCCCTAATCCTGTGAAGAAATGTGGCTGCAAGTTTCCATTGATTTCATTGCAATCGTCACAGGGCCAGGTGTTCGAAGCGCCGAGTACGTGCCCAGTTCCCTAGATAAGTGAAACAAACCATCCAGCCAATAGCGAAGGCATGCTCCATAATCAAGCATGTACACACGGTGCCTTCCCATGCTGCAAATACAACTTAACAGATACACAGCTAGAGAAACGATCGAAAATGCAGTTGTTGAGAGACCAAACAAGACCAGAGAACTACAGAATAGATTCGTCAGTAAAAATATTTCTTAATTGGAAAGAGATGCCAACTCATATCATTGAAAGCTGACACGCATGGGAACAAAGCAGCATTCACAGAATGCTCGGTTACGTATTTTTGTAAACCTAACAAGCAATCTGGCCTCGCATGCATGGGCTTTTGCACCACTTCCCAGCTATCTTGGTATTTCCGGAAGCTGTTGCCCAGAATAGAAATCCATCCGAGACACCATGGATCCATATTCGCTTCCAATAGATTGTTGTACAGGGCAGCACCACAATGTGGCATGTAAAACAGCGTCGGAGAGTATGCTCGCCTCCTTCCTTTCTCGTCTCGCAGAATAGGAGTGCAGCCCAGGCTTGACAAGAAGCCATACTCCATGGCAGACAGCACCGGATCAAACACAAACAAATCCCCAATGCAGGCAAACTGGTTCTTCAGCAGAAGAGCAAGCGACATTTGACATCTAGACACCTCGCTGTCCAGAATGCTCCCTACACCAAGGACTACGAGCTCCACAACAGTTGGTGAACTTGGTGCAGGCTTCATGTCTACGACGTGATTTTCCTTCACTCTGTACTCCACAGTTTCTAATATCAAACTTCCTACATCCACAGCCCACATACTGGACATTAGATGATAGCCCTCAAGTATCGTGCAATTGCTCTTTCTTTCCAGGTAAATTTCTAAAACTCTGAACTCTCAAATTCTACATTCCAAGCACAGCATAGGTTGTAATTTTGAAAAAAATACCACCATAATTGTGAGAGCACACGTACCATCTGAGAAGTGAAAAGTGCACGTTTCATAGTCAGCTGGATTGGGTCCCAAACTTTGGACAGCAGCAAGAAACTCATTCACAATTGTTTGATCATGACGCAGTCTCTCGGATCTTCTCGCGTTAGCCACCAACGTTTCCAAAATTTGTAGGCGTTGCATCTGCTCTACTAGTTTCTTGTAGAAGACTGATCTCCGAACTCGCTCCATAGATTTCTGAAGGCTCTGGCGCAGTTTATGTTCTTTTTCCGCATCCCAAGGACTGAGAATCGAGTTCGGGCTATGTCCTGGACGGTACGAGAGGAGGCCCTCCTCAGAGCTTTTGTACACGGGGCGTTTCGCGTGAAGCTTTCCTTTCCGAGGTAGCCCAGTTTTCCACTCGTCCTCTACCTCGCTAATGCTCACCGTTCGGTCTTCCATCTCCACCCAGATAATAACTCAAACTCTATTATTATGGTGTAGAGGCCGAGAAAGGCAAGCATTACCGTTGTGGCTTGTGCGAACGTACACACATTCTAATCTACTGTAAGAACGATGAATCTCGCGAATTCAAGACATGCCTTCCACGGCCAGTCGCCGTATTCCGATCTGACGAATTAGCTCCAGAGCGTAGAGAATCTTCATCAGTCAAGTGCCCTAATGTACACTGTCAAGAAGTTCACAGCTGATCGTACCCTAATGCTTGAAATCAAAAGGACAGAAACGAATCCTTACCAACGCCCCCCATTCCCCAATCTTGATATACACCATTGCCGCTGCCCTTCCTCGAGCTCTTCCTTGACGTGCCTCACAATCGGTCACAAGACGTAATGATATCGGACATATCTCTGACTAATCCACACAAACATTCCCTGCGATGGGTTCCAAATTCGGTAGTTGATCCTGTCGTATATTGTCATCCACCCTTATCCTCTTGTCTACTCATGCCTGAAGGATAAGGGATCGCAACTTGCGAGCTCCCAAACTCCCCTCGCAAAGCAATAACTTACATATTGGCGCTTTACCGAAATCACCCAGTTGCCGCAATGCCCATGTGCGTGCAAAATGAGTTGAAACCGTCGCAAGATGCACCAATTCCTATTTCTAAAAATAAAAAATAATATTTCTGGCGCGCGTTTTGAAATATCAGTTCATTTATGAGAGGCATTCCTGTGGGCCCTTTTTCTCGTCACACAAAGTTCAACAAGGCTTCAGGATTTGCGAACCATCCCAGCAACTACGTTCACACAACTCGCATCCGCTTGGCATCCCAATCTCTGTAAGTAATGCACTGTGCATCTCTCACGACCGATTGGGCGAGGCTTCTATTTTTTGGTTGTAGTTATGGAGACGGTGTCGCAGCCATGGCGCACCTCACTCTCCTTCTCTGCCTCAATTCCATATACATCCGTAATGGGTTTCCGAATTCAGAAATATTATGCTTATTCCTGGAAAAAACCTGTGAGGCTGCCGCAAATTTGTTGTCATTCTTCGACCAGAGTGGATGGATCTCAGAAAGTAAGACCTCCTCCCAGTGATTATGATTTTCGGGCTGAAACGAGCGATGGGACTCAGGAGATGGTTCAAAGGCTGTATCCAGAGTTGATGGACTTGGTAGAGGATGGCACACTAGTAATTGTGAAGCGACCTCCGGATTATGTTGAGCGTCGCAGTGATGGTTATGTGGAGCCTGAGGTGGTTTATATTGTGGGCACGGCTCACATGTCCAAGCTCTCCGCCAACCAGGTAAGAACTAGGCCATGGAAGGTCAATGTGCAAATTTTAGGTTGGCAATTGGCGGAGATGACGTTTTAGGGCTGCAGACTTGTAATCGACTGAGAATTTTGTCTTGGTAATGACTGATTTTTACGCATTTGTGTTTCGATACCCAACTCAATTGATTATCTTGAAACTCAGGGTAACCAATTGGGCAAAGAAGCATTATATTTCAGTGTGAACTTTGCAGTTACGTTTCACAGTTCTGGAAATCTAGGCACCTTGACAGGCGAGAAGAATACTTCATTAAGTCTTCATTGGAATTTTTCATGTGGAGTTAATTTTTCACTTCGGAAACCTCTAATTTAGGCTGCTGAGTCACATATCTAACGTGGTTGTTCATCTCGAGCAGTTGTGCGGGACGCAGTGAATGCTGGGCAACTTATATGTGGGATGGACAAGAAACCCGACGTTAAATGGAATTTAAGGGTTTTCTTAAATAACCTATTCAATATTCTCGTGTGAAGTTTTTTGTGGGCTCTGCATTTTGCAGGTTACGAGAGTTATCAATGCTGTGCAGCCTGAAAATGTTGTAATCGAGCTTTGCAGAAGCAGGCATGTAAGGCTTACCTTCACTTGCAATAATATTCCAATGTCGATTCATGAGACCCTATTCTGCAAGAGTGTTGATACAAGTCGTGAGACTGGCCGATTTTTGAGAGCGCAGGGCAGGTATTATGTACGATGAGGCTCAAACATCTGACGTGAAGCAAGGTTCCAAAAATTTGATGTCCATGAGCGGTGACAATTTTGGATCAGCAGTGGGCCGCAGCCTCAAACTTGGTGAGCCTTTGAAGTTTCTGGTTTAATTTTTGGGCTGTAACCTGGCTGACTTAATGAAGGATGTGGAAAAACTTGTGAACTCTAGACTCAAAGTGTAAGACAAACAATAAAGAATATGGATACACGACTAATGATTGGTTTCCACCAGGAGCCTCATGTTGCCCTTAGCTCTAGGGCGTGCAGATTCTGTGGTTTAACAGAGGATTTTTGAAATTTAGTTCCTAGTATCAAGAGCTGAAAAAGTGTGCCACAATCTTTGGACTATGCTAACGCCCATGTGTGCACTCATGAATCATGGCTATTCCTGTATGATTACAAGATGTTATGAAGTTTAGCTAGAAGCGGAAAGAATTTGCGAAGTGTAGCTTTAACGATATCAAGTATTTGGGGATGGTATAGGTGGACGATCTGCTCTAGCACTTCGCTTGCTATTGGCCGGTGTTTCCAAACGTCTCTCAGCTTCTGCGGGAGTAGCCACGGGAGAAGAGGTGAGGATCGCTCGGAAGCTTCTCATTGGCTCAGTACGCTAAACCTGGGCAAGTGCAATTGAAATCGATGTTTGTAAACAAATATATACATCCACTCCCAAAATTCTGTAACAACTTTGTTGTGCTTAACAGCCTGTAGTCATTTGAAGACTTGAATCAGGTTGTGGTCTGCAGATTGAACGCTGTGATTTGTTCTTCTCGAGAAGGAGGTTTTTCTATAAACAATACAGTTGTAACTCACAATATATCTAGAGGGGCAGTAGTGTGAAGGTGCCTGATCCTTGATTATACTAGTGCAGTTTCGTGCAGCCAGGAAAGCAGCTGAAGCTTTAGGGGCACAAATTGTGTTGGGAGACCGACCTATTGAAATCACGGTAAACCTTGTTCTGAGACTTGGTCGTCGGACAATGTGCTTGAGCTTTTTATCGAATTATATCATTTTCCTGTCATTTGTAGGTATTCGAGATTTTGTGATCCCTCTGATGTCTAGCTTTGTATTCTATTTTGCTGTCCCGCTGTCTAGAGTGTTTTCAAATATATGTTGACGTATGATCCGATGTTATTTTTATTTGAAGCTGCAAAGGGCATGGAGATCACTGAAGTGGGACGAGCGTTTACGATTTGGAGCCACCCTGGTTCAAGGCATGTCCGATAAAAATCTTAACGTTTCGGAAGAAAGTCTTCAGGTCACAATATTTATGCTTTCTTCCTTCAAAGACACAAATATTTGTAAACATGAGTCTTCTCCTGATCTGTCTTGGTTGATTTGGTGTCTGAAGTGGAATCGCTACCAAAAGAGTAGACACGCTTACGATCTATTTATGCACCACATCAACATTTTTTAAGTTTTGCGTTCTTCTACAGATGCTGAAGTCGGATGATGCACTATCAGCCATGTTTGGAGAGCTAAGCAGTCGATTTCCATCCTTGATGCAACCCCTGATCCACGAGCGGGATATGGTAAGCAAGGTTCTGAGATCTTCTGTACGAATAGGCAATTAAGGAGTCCAGCTACAGTATGTCTTTCGTAGTATGACTCGACCTCTGAAATCGACGGGGCAGTAGAATATATGGTGATTGAACTGTAGCAGACAGTTGTCTTGAAGTTTGGAAGTTTGAAGTCTTGCTTGTATTGTAATCTTAAGTATTCAGATGTGGCAGTCTTCTAGACGTCCAGCAGAGCCCATGTGAGTGTGAAGGTGTCGTCCCTTGTTCCTAATGCTGTAATGCTGGGTGGTCCCACTGCACAGTACCTCGCGTGGTCGTTGAAGCGAAGTAAGGCTGTGAATGGATGCAAGCGAGTCGTAGGAGTTGTTGGAAAAGGTCACTTGCGTGGGATAGTGCATGCCCTTATCCATGACCAAGAAAACCTACGCTTTAAAGACCTTGTTGGATCTAGAGGAATCGGGACAGAAAATTCCAAGGGTGAGAAACTACGCAAGTTTGCCACGAACCTAGCGATTGAGACAGTTATTGGTCTCCTCACATGGTGGGCATGGGAATCCTTCCAACATCATTGAGACTTTGTAAGTGGCAATATAAGCAGTTCCAACACCTTACTGTAAATGATCATACTGTGCTAAAATATTACGCTAGTTGATCCACACGATTGTGTACGTCTCCTCTTGACTTGGTCGTTAGTTGTGGATATTACTTGCCACCATTTCTTGATGAGGTTTAGTCGTGTCAAGCCATGTTAACAGCAACAGCTGTCTGCGTTTCCTATATCACTCAAGCAGGTTCATAGGGAAGTTTTTTATTATTGTAGTTTTTCTTTTCCTGACGCAACTGAACTGTAGTACAGGAATATTTTCTAATAATGAAGATTTGTTCTTTATGAAATTATTCTTCCTGCATTTTTCTCGTAGGCCTATTACTTTCTCTTTTTACGTTTGAACCCCTTCCATTCTAGGATAATATGAAGATTCAATGCTGAGCATAGCCATAATTTCTAGGCTGTCATCATCTTAAAGCAGGATACTTTTTAATTATCAACAATTTCGCAAAGGTTGCAGTATACTGCCATAATGATGCTGAGTTAAAGGCGTAAAGAGGAGTATGGTTTGTAAACGGAAAGTACACGAACTACAAGTGGGCGAATTTTGTTTAAATTACACAAAATGGACAGAACGGAGGTCGTGTACTGATTTGAAATCAGCTTTCACATGTAAAAGGTTAAATATAGTGGGGGATAGACTACCACACTGACTGCATTGTATTAGTTGAAGCTAAGTCTAATTTCTATTTTAACCGCATTCATTAGTACCCACCCTTAAGTACTAATCATTTGTACTTACTTGATGCACATGGACTAGTTGTTAGTTTCCCGAAAATGGGCTAGAGAATCTGATCGATACATCCAACTAAACGAGTATTTCGTCGATATGTATTTATTACTGTACAGTAAATTGGAGAAGAAAATTTACAAAAAATCTATCCTAACCCTTGGTGCTACTTTACCTGAGAAGGGGCCATTAACAGCATACACCAATGGTGAGGACCACATATGCATGGTTAAAACGTTTGTATTTGTTTTCTTAAGATAAACTACATTGCGTCATTGCATTTACAGGTACTGACTTGTTCAACCCATGAATGGCTCGGTCTATGTCAGCGGTACACAACTGTGTCAAGAAGTGATGTACCCGTTTAAAGCATTATCTGACGCATAGCTAACGTTCACCAAGAAAAAGACCACCAATACTGCCACTGAGAAAATCAAAGTTGAGCAAGCAAACAAGATATCATAGACAAAGATCTGGGAGCCCTTGAGAGGGAAACTAAGATAGGCTTGGAAATAGCATATGAACAGTAAGTAATTGTGGGATATGAAAATTAGAATGGAGGGAAGATCCCAACCATCGTGCTAAACCTTATACACAAAAGTCATGTTTACAAAATTCCTATGATGAATAACTTCATGTACAAAAGAGATGAAAGTCTCTAGCGCTTCTGCCGTGGTGGGTAGAAAGTGGTCATAGAAAAATGTGCAGAAGCATACACCTGCGCTGCTACAGTCACCCGACTGTGATGAAACAAAATGAGATGGATATGCACACGAATACACTCGGCATGCCTTGATCCAGGAATGACATTTAGCTATGACCACCCCAGAATGACCTGATTGATTCAAATCCTGTGATTGATTGGATGCTCCATATTTGGAAGCTCAAAATTCCGGAGTGCAAGAAGCCGTTTGCTTCGATTTTCGTCATGACATGTACACTTGAACACTGGCATTCTTGAGGGTCTGGCATAGAGGGCATACATCTAAGCGAGCTTCACAGTCCTTGCAAAGACAAAGATGCCGGCATGGCAGAAGAAGGATAGATACATCATTGCACCGGCACGACCTGCAAGTCCTCTGCTCCCGAAGCTCACGATTCTCCCTGAAGGTGCGTGCATGCATGTCCTCGGCGTCTCCATGGTGAGACGAAGCCGCATCATCTGCTTCGCTGTCCCCACATCCCTCCTTACTATGCTCCCGGCTGAATGCTACTGCTGCCTGCGCTTGCTGGAGGTTTGCCCTTAAGGCAGTCACCAAGGCTTCTGTGGCCTTGGTCTTCGCCTGCCAGTGATGAGTCTCCACTGTCAGCTGCTCCGCATGCTTCACAAGCTCCTGGTTCTGCCGCTTCAATTTCTCAATTTCCAGGTCTTTCTCATGAAATTTCCGCAAGACAACTTCCTCAATCGCCCCAATAAGGGCTCGAGAGTATCGCTGCCTCTTCTCTTCGAGTTGCTGTCTAATTTTTTCACCCTGCACATTGCACAAATGTCTCATCCACATTTAGGAAGATTGTTTACAACTAAATAAATTTCCTTTGACAATTAATCAAATCAAGGAGCACTCTAACCCAATTGACAAGAAACCTGCAGACAAAAGGGTATCACAAGTACCTGAAGCTTAAAGAACAGCTCGACTTCCTCTCGTTGCTGCTGCAAGTGTGTGTTGAGGTCATCGCCTACTGCAGCCATGAAAGAGGTGGAGATATCTCGACCGCTTGTGGAGGCAGAGGAAGTGGAGTTTAGGCGATCATCCTCAAATGACAGGCGTAAACCAGTCGAAACCCCAGTTGTCGAAGGCGGAACAGATACCGACCCATGGTTTGGGTGGTATTCCATGTTGAGCATTTGTTGCTGCTGTTGTCTTGAATTTACGCGAATATCATCGTCTTCCCTAGCTCGCTTACGAGAATTCACCAAATTACAACCCAAGTCATTCTCAGCCTTGGTGTAGATTACATTGCTGTTGATCACTGGAGCGGATTGCACACCATGGCTGAGGCCAGCAACTGCAGACACTGTTCAAAGACAAATAACAAAAATGACCAGATTAGTTCTGATGAATGAGTTGTAACGTATAATAAGATGATTATCATCATAGTGAGCACATGCCATTCTTCATGCTGTATCCTTCACTTTTGTTCTAAGATAAATTACCGCGTGTGATTTTACTGTTGAGATGATATTGTTCAGGGTGGCTGTCGGTGATCACCAACTTTCCTTCAGGAGGAACAAGAAACATCTCATGTGAAATTCATAGCGCAATTCACAAATATCTTAATCAGTGCTTGCTTATAACACTGTTTAACCTACTTTTAAGCTGGTCCTAAACATACTGTATCTATTGGATTCGTAGTAGCTTATATACTGCCAGACCCCCCAAAAGAGCACCAGCAAACTAACCAAAGTAATTTGAAAAATGGGAAAAACGAAACAGACGTAATAAAATAAAGTAAAGAGTCAAATAAAAAAGGGACCCGGGGAGGGAACCAATAACGAGAACGAAAAATTATACTGATTTGGAGAGATTGCATACATTGGTTGAACATGCGCATCGGGTTGGACATTTCCAAGATTGGCTGAGGCTGAGATTGTGTTCGAGCTTCGTCCAGAGAAGAGGTCAGAGTGAGGTTAACGGGCGAAAAGTAACTCCTGTTACTGCCCGCAAATGTCTGCCTGGCCCTGCTGATCCAAAATCCCCATTCAGTAAACGTCCTTCAGAATGTAATGACAAGAGGCGTCAACTCGACAACAAACCAGATCCACGCCGAACTGCTCACTTCGTCTAGAGGCCATAATTTCAAATCCACAACGCTGAGAGTTATCCACATTTAAATCCTTATTGGCCTTTGTCCCGACTACATACCAAGGGTTCAAGCGTGATAAACCAGAAAACTCCGTTGTCGAAAAGAGAATAATGATAATAATAACAACACTTCCAAATGATAAATGCCTAAGAGTTGAGAAGATTTGATCGAGAAGCCCATGCTTACCTATTGCGGTAATCGGGCAAAATCACATTGGACGGGTACTGCGCCTGCACTGCCATAATTTCGCTGTATGATTGATGCCGAATAAACCCTCGAGTATTCCTTACGTTGAGCAGCACCTTGAATTGCGCGAGCAAGGACTGGCTACAGAAACCTCACAAGAGGAGGCACACGCTGAGGGCTAAAGAACTTGAGACTGGTTCAATTAACGTGAAGAAGAGAAAAGAAAAGAAAAACCGGGTAGGTAGGGTGTGTATATTAGGACAAATCAGAGAGCTGAAAGATCCGGAAGAAGGCGATGGTGATGCAAAGAACTAAAAAGAAGAGAGAAGGAATCGAAATTTGGATGACAAAAGGACACAAGAGCAGTGTGAAGATAGTAGCAGTAGATAATAATAATTTTTTGATGAGATAGCGATTGAATATCAAGAAGATCTCCAGGAAATGGTAAGTCAAGAAGCGCTCCGGCATGCAACGCGACGCAAAGGAGCGGGCCCAAAGAAACTAAAGCAGAAGCGGCAGCAGAAGAAGAAGAAGAAGAAGAAAAAGAAAAAGGCAGAAGTTCCCAAGATCACTCTACTCGTCAAAGTCAAGAAAATAGCCAACCGTCGCTGTGCTACTACTGCTGCGTTTATTGAAATTGCGCGCGAACACACAACATCGAAATCCTCAAGACCGTCTTCCAGAGATTCTGCTCTACGGCAAGCGCGCACTAGCACAAGACACACCAACCCCCAAGTCTCAATTCCTAGCCACAACAAAGTCCACACTCGTCTCTGGCTCCTCCGCCTTGAAACACAACGCATTCGACCCCGAGACCACCACCTCAGCGAACATAATTGCGTCTGATCGAACCTAACTCCGGTCTACCATCACCAGCCACGTCTCCACTAAAAACTTCAGAGAACTGAACCAGTCAAGCGCGAGATAACCAACACTGGGATAGATCGACCCTCAGAACTACAAGTGCCGCAAAGCAAGTGGATACACGACACACCCAAAGCTCCCACTAAAAGGATTCACGAAACGATGACACAATCAGGCCACCAAGGAGGGGATGGAGTGAGTGTCAGGGGGGTGGCGGGAAGGAATCAAGAGGAATCGAGAGGAGAGATACTCGGGGAGTCTCATGAATGCGGAGATAGCGAAGGGTAGGGGGGATGCTGCTGCAAATGGGTTATAGTATCTGGGTGATGATGATGGCAGCAAGAGTGGTACTTGATCAGAGGCAACATTAGCTGCGCGGTGGTAGTGGTGGCTGGCTAACTAAGATAGAAACTCGTGCTGGACCCAGCACCGGCACTGGCATTGAATCTCGGGAAAAGCCCTCTTCCTCCTGGCTGCTGCTTCTGTTGCGGCTGCTGCTCCGCTCTGTCTCCGTCGTCGCCTCTCTCTCGCTGGCTCTGTGTGTCAGTCAGGTCACGCCCTGAGTCGCACATGACGGGCGCGGCGCTGGTGGGAGAGGGAGGGGAGACCCTAGATCCAGGGCGCTATACTCCTGCTGCTCCCCCATACGCATCATTAGCCCTATACTTCCAAATGGTAAAGGGTGAGCAGAAAGTGGACTGTTCTTCATTTACTCATTCATGTATGTGTGATGATAATCATGTGTTGGGGGGGGGGGTGCCTGATCTCCCTACCCCCCTCCTGCTCCTCTGTACATGCAATGGCCCATTTGGCATGGCTGCCACTGTTAGAAAGTAGGGGTGAGAATCTGGGAGATTTTCAAATACCCTCGGTTGCATTAATTGTGGCACAAGATGGAAATTCCTCCTCACCCTCCTCATCTGCAGCCTTCCTTCCCCTTTTGAGGCATGCAGCAGCAGAATTGTTTCTCCACATGAACTTAGGGGTGGGTGGGTGGGTGGGTGAGGGAGGGAGAGAGGAAGTGAGTGAAATTAGTGCCCCACACTGATATCAGCATTTATCTACATCCCCCTGCCCCAACCTCCCCTTTGAAAAGGCCACTATGTAGAGGTAGCATGCTTACAACCCATGATGATTTTGCGTTGCTTAAATCTCTCTCACATGGCATATGACTTTTGCCCTCTGAGTGCTGGATTTCTTACAGTCTCTTCCTTCCCCACCACCACCACCAGGCTGGATTTCATGACATCAGGGGATGATTGAAGAGGTCTCTGGATAAGGCTGAGTGACCCACCTTAGCCATGTGTGAAAGTCGACTGGCTGTCCAAGAGCAGGTTGACTAATAGTGATTACAGTAAGTAAAATCACAGTGAGTCAGGGAGTCAGTCAGTGAGTAAGTACGGCCAGCTTCATTTGATATGGAGGCTCTTTTCACTGTGCAAGTGAGTGTGGTGATTGGGTTAAAACAGTGGGAGTAGTGTATGCAAATTGACTTGCAGTGGAAGCAATTCCTCTCATGTTCTCTCTTTTCTTGCCTTTCTTTTTTCTCAGTCCAGCACATGCCAGGCAAGTGAAACAAAACCTCCATCACAGAGATTGATAGAGACCACAGAGAGTCTTTATAAATCTGCCGTCATAATCTTGCTGTGGGGGAGAGCCACTAGATCAGGATGGCCCCATAGCCACCACCACCACCTCTTATCTTCTTAGGGTTAACTCACCACCCCCCACTTCACCAGTACTCTTGCACTCTTTCTCTCTCACACACACACACATACTCACAGCCTTGCCAACTCTGTCCTTGACTGAGAGCAGCAGCTCTCAAGATGGCATTGATTATTAGCAGGCTTGTTGTTGTTCCCACAAGTGCAAGTTTCTTCTCCCCCTGTGGCAGGAGTGGTGGTCAAAGACATCACCCACAATGTGACAGGCAAGTTATCAACCCAGTCCCAGGACCCTTTCATTACTCTAGGGTTGTATCATTGCCATGAGAGTGACAACAAGCAATCCTTGGTTCTCCCTCTCTCTCCCTGCATACAAACCCCCACATACATAAAATCTCCCCTTCTTCATCCCATTATGTAAGCAAGTAAGAAAGGATGATGCTATCATAATGTGATCAGTTCCAAGTCTGTTTGGTTGTTGTTTGTTTGTTTGTTTGTTTTTTAACTTTCCTTGATTTGTATACATGGTTTGTAAGTTTCTTCCTCTTTTGTCTGTTTCTTTTCTTGTTCTTTTAGGTCCACAGTTAGTGCCAGTGTGCCTGATTTTCTGCTTCCTACATACTGAAGTGCCCTCATCTAACACATATTCATTCATCCCCATTTGTTGCCCTACAGATAACTAGGTAATCAGCATTTTTTTATTTTATTTTATTTACACACTTGGTTGTGTGTATGTTTGTTTGTTTGTATGTTCATATACCTACACATGCATATATTGAAATTCTTCATATTTGAGGCTTTTAGAGGGTTTATGTTACTATTTGCAAACAAAGATTGCAAAAATGGTGCTATGAATAAGGTATTGTTTTACCTCTTCAAAAGCCAACATTGAACAAATTGCTTGATTGCCATTTTTATTATTAGTTATTTGATTTATATTAACAATCATTAACTACTTTTCATGGAAGAAGTACCAAAAAAAAAACAAAACAAAACAAAACAAAACAAAACAAACTAAATACTTATTTTACAGAATTTCTATAAAAATAATCAAAGACAATGAAGTCACTTACCCGATTCATGAACAAGAAAATGATTTACAAGCAGCTTGGTTCTTCCAAAAGAAGTTTTAAATAGTGAGACACTCTCCATCAGTTTTACGTCTAAAGCCAAAATGGGCTCATTTACAAAATATCATCAAAATAAATGAACAAAAAAAATACAAAATGTGAAAAGTCATTGTATGTTTTCATTTATGGCACACTCAATGTAACAAAAGAGGATGAAGTATGACTTTGAAAGTACCAATCTAATGAATCTCAGCTGACAGAAGAAAAAAAATTAAATTAAATCAAATCAAATCAAATCATGCACCACTGTTTTAAAATTTGACATCAAAATAACCACAATTGTGTTTATGAATACATGGATACGAATTCAAATTAAGTATCACAAATTCAAGAAACTAAAATGAGAACTGTCACCTCTTCATTCATTACTATTCCTCAAAAACTAAAAACAATATACATCTTGTACTGGAATAATTTCACTAAAACCTTAATCAACAAACAGATAAATTAATAATAACACATAGTAGTAAATAACACTAGTCAATTATTCATTTGCTTTCTGTTACCATGCTCAACACATATCAAACAATGATTATGTGGCAATACAACTTTCTTTGTTATTATTGTAATTCTTATTATTATAATAACATGGTATTTTAAAAAGTTAACCAAGATAGTTTGTTGATATTCTGTTGTGTTTTATTCTATTTTATGGCAAGGTGTAGTGGGAGTCTTGTGTGACCTCAGTAGTAGTAGATGAGTTAGCTGTGGCACCCACAAGTGGCCACAGTGTAAGTATAAGGGCCAGGCAAGGCAAGGCAAGGCTCTATAAATAGGGGGACAGTAGGAGTGGGCACTGATGACAGAGTGAGTGGTCATGGGAATGTGGATTTGGCAACAACAAGTTGCATGCTGCCTTGCAAACCCAATCACAGTGCCAGGTCAGCAAATGTGTCCATCTGGCAAAATGAGTCACCGGGTGGGGTGAGGTGGGGTGAGGTGGGGTGAGGTGGGGTGGGGTCCTTTGTGGGTGGACCATTCCTCTGCTCAAAAGGCTACCTTTCAGCAGAAACAGGAGCCCCTGTCTTTGCTGGTTTTGGTATCCAGTCCTGTGTTCTTAGCACACATGGTGTTCACATCATCTGCATAGATTTTTGATGGATTCATGGGCACTGATTTGGTGAGTTGAATGGCATTGAACCATAAGCTAAGTGACAAAGCATGTGAGTGTTCACAGAAAGGGCCAAGCTCATTCACTCCACTATTGCCTTTTCCCTGGTCAAGTGGCTGAAACCCACTTGTTTTTGACTGCAGTTAATATTGGCTATTGGTTATTATAAAGTACTGACTCAGCAGCTCTGGCTACAATTAACCTCCAACCAACAAAACAGTGCAGTGAGTGGGTTAAAATGCAGACAATTGGATTCTTTCTGCAGACCAAGTTTCTCATCCATTTAAAACTCTCTTGACATTTTTGAGGTGGCTATGTGATATTTGTTTCAAATGGCTCCTCCAAACTTGCTCTAGAAGCCTATCCATTTAATGAAACAGGTTGAAATGCTTCATTTATTAGCATGCACACACACCCACACAACAGCATGTTAAATCATATTGCAATAAACTCTGCACATCACAGTGCAAATGTCAAATACAGTGATTAACTGGGATGTGGTACAAGCAACTCTTTATTTAAGTTACAATACATCAACAGAATGTTTTTATTTTTATTTTTATTTCTTTCTTCTTCTTCTTCTTCTTCACTAATCCAAAACTGAGTTATGGAAAGCTGCAGAGTTTACCATAATATTCATATGTATGTAAATGCAAATTTACATGTATATATATATATATATATATATATATATATATTTTGGGAAAAAAAAAAATATCCAAGCCAAATGAAATTAGCTATTTGTAATTTTTCTTTAATCTCAAGTTTCTGCTCATGATTTGATTGGAAAGAGAAATTTTTTCAGGTGAACAGAAAAGTTGTATGGCTCACATACTTGTATTTTTTACACTGCATGACTCATGATCATGTATTTTCTTTTTTACACCAATGTTTTACTGTAAGGAAATCTGAGATATCTCAACAGAATCCAACACTTGGATCCCAGGCATTGAAGTGTTTGGATACTTGTGTTACACACCCCTTGTAAAACACATAAAAACATGAATTCAATGGGGACTTGATTAGATACAATGAATTTAACTACATGATATTACTTGTGCATAAATACCCACTTTCTACCAATTCATTTTACAAAATAAAAAATACTCATTGTCATGAGCATGCATGCTTGTCAAACAAAATTTGTCCACCATTGACACACACACACACACACAACTTATCAATTCATTTCATGCCCCTATTTTTTTAAAAAAAAATCTGCCAACATTATCAGTCTCCATACCCATGTCCAGTCTAGTTGCATGCCCTATTTGGCATGTCTGATTTAAAGTCCTTCAGTCGCAGCTTCAAATCATGGTTTTGTGGGAAAAGTTTAAGTGGGTTTACACTTAAAGTATATTGCACATAGTGCTGATAATCCAACCTCATGTTACATATAGTGGTGGGGTAATACACAAGCTTTGAGAAGCAAATTTAAATGTGTCAAATCCCTTTTGCAAATTTGCAATGCATACATGAATCCATCATTTTAGAAGCTATCTAAATAACTCACTTTTCAATGAAGAAAAAAGTAGTCCATTGGTGAATGAATGGAAAGTCATGGTGTGGGGAGAAAAGGTGCTGAGGCACAAATATCTGCCTCAATAGGATTTGGCCTTGACTTCCCATAGGTCAGATGTCCCATGAACTTGACTTCTGCACAAGTAATGTGATGTCTAATTTACTAACTAGGTCACACTATTTGAGATAAAAAGGGGGCAGGCATGAGGACAATTGAATGGCAGT